ACATTAAGCAGGCCTTACACTGTGACAACTTGTATAACCCCCAGTATATATTTGTCTATCCAAGTAAACAAACTGTTTGAATAAACTTTTTGCAAAGATATACAAAGAACTTGCTAATAACAATTAATTATGCGAAATATTTTAAATAAAATACACAGATTGGTTCAGCTATGAAATCCGACTGACATCTATATGTTCACTTTGTTCACTAGTTTCAATCCACTGTTGGGATATAAATACACCATGCTGAAATGAATTAATCTAATCACAACGCACATGTGAGCATGTTATATCAATATCAGATGATGACGTGGCTAAGAACTTCAATTTCTAAATAATTCTTTGCATGACTTTATGTATCACTGTATTGTACCTAATATTGTAATAACTATCCCGAGTAACACCATCAACAGTAAACAATTCCCACATACGTCGTTTTTGAGTCTGCTGGGTTTAAGTGGAATTAACAGTGGGAACAAATTAAGAAAATATTTGACTGACGTATTACTCATCCCCGATTTGTAATTGCTTGCTAATTTGTGACCTTGTGTCTTGAAAAAGCATCAAGTTTGTTGACCTAATGTTGTACACTGTTGCCAAGCATAAACAATACATTGCGTTGAATTATCTTTCGAGAAGCAAATTGAGAAACAGCCTTGAAAGTAATTACCACTTGTATTCATTTAACACCTATATGACTTGACTGCAATGAGGTAGCTTAGACATGTTTTTTTAACTTCCCTTCAAGTCCACCTTTTTGTTATGCTCATCCTTGTTCATCAATTAGAGAAAATATTTTTGACAAACTGAATATGTTAAATTTACCATTGTGTGTGTATTTATTTCAGTGGTTGTAAATCATTAAAATACTGTGCAATTCGACCAGTAATGTGACACTTCGCCATACACTAGGCACTGTATTAGTGTTACTCTGAGTTTTACCGCTTTATCAATATGGATAGACAACGCTGGTACTTTTTATATGTATGTGTCCGTTGTTGTTGCATTAACAAAACCTATAGTTACCACTCGTAAATATGTTGAAGTGCGTTTTTTATTGATGCAGTTGTAAACATTTTGAAGTGGTTTTTTTATTGACGTAGTCATAAACGTGTTTAATCATGTTTCCTTATTGACACGATCATCAGCATGTTAAGTGCGTTTCCTTATTGATGCACTAGTTTGGATCACTTCTTATCTGTATATAAATATCCATTTTTCAAATTAAATAAATGTAAATGGCCATATACTAATGTAATTAGTCTGCGAGTATGGGATTTGAATAAGCAAATATTGTTATCATTCCCGCAATGTAGAATATAATCTGTAGAAAATCACGTACTGATTCCTGCATGTATAAGGGCTTTTGATTTAGCACAATTCATGAGCAATTTTATTCAACAGAACCCTGGATTCGAATTCAGTAGAATATCCTAAAATAAAGTGTTCTTGAGATATTATAACAATTACAATTACAATGTTTGCTTTGGTGATTTGATACAGCACATCACCTGATTTTAATGGTAATTACAATTATAAAATACAAAGTACGAACAAAACTGTAACAGAATTTTTGCATTTCTATAAACATAACATAATTATTGTATATCGTTTTTACTTGTGTTTGTGACTGGGTTTGTCTAGCATGCGTTTGTGAGAGCTATATCAGGGGGGAATTCTTCTCCCTGGGGGTTCTCCACAATTGTCAGGGGGAATCTCGTCTCGTCTCTCTCTCTATCGCGCCCCCTTGAGGTACGGGATCGGGAAAGTCACTTAAGCTTTACAGTCAAATAAGACACACACAACGAAATACTTTTCAACTCTCGTCTTAGTCGATCAGTCGAGCACTCTATAAGACACAGCGCCCTGGGGAAAGATCCCCAAGACTATCGCAAGGCTGACCCAAGACTCGCCCAAGACTCTCCAGGACTGGACTCTCGACTGCGTCTGTCGTGTTGTACTCGCCAAGACCAACTAAAACTACTTTATTCATTTTCAAAACTCTAACCAATTACAAAACGGTAAAAAGACTCCAGGGCGTAACCTTAAATCATAAAGCCAATCACACTAAGTACTGAATACGTCATATCTTTTGATTAATCGTTCACTACATTAATAACTACGGATACCAACTGTCAGAAATCGTAGTCAGAATAACGACGGTTATCTCGTAATTAGTTCCAAATCACTGAGCCAAGTTCCGTCCAGGACCTCGCCTGCTTAACGATGACAGACATAACACAGCAATTCGCTAATAATCATGACAGCTATAACAACTTCCGCACACACACTATAACATGCCCTATTTTAATTTCAAATATAATAGATATGTATTTTAGCATTTGTTTTATTTATCATATCATATGATTATGAATACAATTGAAATTTGTGGTATTGTCAATTATGACATGCATTGACCAAGCTGGCTTCCGCCCTGGCATTTTCACACCTTATTGTGCTTCATGCAATATGTTGTCAATTTGCATTAATTAACCACCTTTTCCAATTTGTTTTATCTGCACCGAATTGTAGCTGAATATTTATTTAACCATTCTAAAACTTCAGAATAAACGTGTAAGGGGATTTCCACGATTTACCAAGCATACTCTAAAGGGGTAACCACGCCGTAGAACCCTCAGGGCACTGCGAGTCTAACTGAATATAATATTTGGAATTCGCATTTCCTAATATGGTAGGATGAAAATACCCCATAAAATACCGCAAAATTACGGCACGCTGTAACTTATGGCGTTACGGTGACAGATGTATAATAATATAATATAATAGATTGCGTTGTTTACATTACAAGAAGTTACGCTTAAGATGGAACTGTCATAGAGATAGACTGTCAGGATTAGAAAAGCTGTAGCAATAAAAATATTATTTCATTATAAATGATGTTTAAGTTTTAGTTTTTAGGTTGAAATACATCCAGATACAGAGCAGTTAAAGTACAAAGTTTCACAAACGACATCCAATATCATCTGTTATATTTTAGTAAGTTGAAATTTATTTCAATTCATGTTTCATCAATTACCGTACCAAAACAATAAAAAATTTAAAAATGCAAGCGACATTCATAATGCTTTTCTACACGGAAATGGTGATCAGATTCGGAAATAGATTCATGTGCAAATGTGTTACATAAAAATGTGTAAAGATTTACCTGATCAGTCCAGCACATTAGTAACATAGCCAAACAGCATTCGTTAAAAACAAAAGGGCCACCAGTCAGCTATTTTGTGTCATTGTGCATTAAGAACCTATTATGCTCATGTACAACTGAGATCCTGTTTCAGAATGGCGGATTGCTTGATTTTGTGATGATGTAACACTAAAGTAGCCGCCATTTAGCTATCCAGTGGATCATGAAATGCATGTACATGTACTTATGTATGATATGATGAATACTCAATAATATTTACATTTATCATCAAATAATTATTTGAGCTAAAAAATATCGTACAGCATTTTTCGATTAGCTAATCGAATGCAGGATTTTCTCTTCGTTGCTAATAGCTAATATCGGTGACATGTTAAGAGGGAAAATAACACTGCCCTGATATCAAGAGACATTAAAATAAATAACCAAATAGCAGAGAGTTGGATATCGCTGTAAAAAATTGATGATAATACATTCATTTGCCTCATATATTATATATGAGTCTTACGGTTATGGCTGCATAACACCAACATCGTATAAAAGATATGCTGTGTGAAAAAGGGTGACCAATCAAAGAAACGTGTTTCATAAAGCCAAAAAAAAAACACACTAAGGTAAATAAACTGCAGTATGTTCAGAAGGTAGCCACCTACTTAGGGTGTAAAGCCAAAAATTCAGGTCATTTTACCAATGTTTACACTGGTTAACAATTTAATGTTGGTTGTATTTGTTATAACTTGCAGAGTCACTAGAGCCAGTGCACAGAACTTCTCCAGCTAGGTACTCCAGCCAAACAAATTCGCTGATCGTTGGACAACATGTAACGACAATAATACAGCAGAGCGTAAAAATTAAAGGTCAACTTTTGAGTTTTACATGATCCAGCAATAAATATAGCTTTGTATGATGGTTATATTTAGGTAAGTCATCCATTTCTTTTGTGCTAGGAAGGTTTGTACGACTTGTGTTTTTTAAACGTTTTTTTGTGAAAAGTCATGTACTGTTAATAATATAATTATAATTATTAATATTTACAGTTCGTCCAATTGTACGATTATTATTTCAACTTTTCATTCTGGTGAATTATTTAAATGGAAATCTGTCATTGTCATCAAATATACAATTTTCAAATAATGATCGAAGTTTTGTTTGTAGGGGCAGCAACATATCCACCTGCATCTCCAGTGTTTTGAATTCGACAACACTTTTATTCATAGACTCCAGCTGTTCTGTCAAAGTACTGTAAAATAATTTATTTTTGTTGGAATTAATTTGTTGGGTGTTTTTAAATGGAATTTATTTCCACTGATTCCTGACGAGGTGAATGTAAATTATAGGAAAAAAGGTAAATTCGCTGGATTTTATTTTCATTGAATCACTCCTTCAGTTAAATTAACAAAAAATAATTCCAAGCGAAAATAAAGTAATTTGCAGTACACAGTTGTATCTATTACTTCGTTAGCCAATTGTCTGTCATTCTTCAACTGAGGCTCTCTGAACTTGAGAAAAGCATGTGAAAAATATACAAATAATCACTGTATATTTGTTAGACAGGGCGTTATCTTCTTATTAGGAAGTATATTGCAGACATTGATAGCAAAAATTATTTTATTTGCAAAAGGTTATTTAATCATAACATTTATAATCAGCCATATTTATATTTGTAATAATATTACTCATATTGTCATAAAATGACTGTATTTCTTATAATTATGTTTTCAGATATTTAACACGGACATTTGAATGTTATTGTATTTTGAAGCGTATAAGTAGGATTTAAACTACAAGTTGTGACCATCTGTATAAAATAGTTAATATGATTTATTACTAACAAAATTCAATTGATTGGTCTTATTTTCATTTCTGTACGTTTAAGTGAATAATAATGTGTTTTCCAATGGTACCAAACCACACCTTTTGCATACAGGTTAGTATGTCCACCAAGATACTGGCCATTCAGGTTGGAAGAATGACACGACTCATACCACCATGCGCCTGTGTATAAAGTTGCACAACGACTGCCGTATGCATCATTATCCCGGTCTCTGGTTGAGAAATATGACCCGGCGTGAACAGAGAAAGAATCTCCTAACAAACCAAGAGGAAATCGTTCAATGAGTGTGCATGTTTATATTTTAGTACGGAATTAGAAATATTGTCAGGTAACATATATCATGTTCGTAACATACATTGAGAATAACGACCTATCTGTGCATGGATAACATATTGGGGATCGCCATTAGACTTGATTACTTTACATTCCTTCTCGCAACCAGAGCTTATTTCCTCTTCGAAGCTTACACTGTGATGTAAACAGGCCATGGTTACGGCGATGTGTTCATCATGTATAATATTATATTTGAAGGTCATATGCTGCCTGGCACAGGATGTTTTTATACTCAGTCTAAGCTACTTGGGTGTGCTCACTAAATTAAACTAAACTAAAATATGCATTTATCTCAACTTGACAATTGTTTATTATAATTGCGAAAACTTTGATTACACGCACACTCAACCGATCTTACACTACATATCCTACAAACTAAGATTCGGGAGCCAAAGTTAAGACTAACTACCAGCATATGACGTACACATTGCAAGCGGTCAATGACTCAATCGACCCAAATAAAACGTAACTTCAATTCTGAAAAAAAAGTTATTAAATCAATCTGGCATCTTGTGATATAAAACAGTTACTGCAATTGTAAGACTACCGTTATCAATGCACTGGTGAAAATAATATTGATAATTGAAATATTAATCCGGTTTAATATAATTTTCTTTAATGCTGAAATCATGGTTTATGTCTATCCGCACTTAATAGTAAAAACTGTTTCTTGCAATGGCACAACGGCCCGGCATTTTTGATGTCATGATTTTTATAGGCAATCCTAATATGCTAACAGCCATGATATCCGTACATCAGTTCAGCTCCGGGGTGTATTAAACAATTATATTGGCGTACTCCCGACCTCCGTATAAGGAGTTCTACATTACTTAATTAATTACAGACGCAAAGTTTTAGAATTATTCATTATACTTTAATTTTCAGATGCCTAATGACGATTTCAACTCGTTAACTCTTCCTTCTGTAGAAATAGTATGTATTTCTAAAACATTAGAAAATGTTTGGTACAAATTCGGGTATGTAAGAGTTAGTGACCTTGCATTTTGAGAACCAATTTCAAACAAACCAAATAAAATAATAATAAAATTGTGTTATTTTCCATTTTCAAAACAATCAAAACTGTGTAACCAATTCCATTGTTCGCTATTAGTATAACAAAGCATCAATATTGACACCACCTTACAAATCGTTAAATTACAACCATCAATATCGCTGGTTGGGTTTCGCAAGATCGAATGTCTTTGTTCGTTTGGCTGTTATCTTTTTTCTGCCTCTGGATACGTTATTATTACCAAAGATGTCACTTAGGAACGCCTATAACATCGCAAATATCCAGTTGCCGAAAGGAAAGGGAAAGAGACCGAGATTTTAAAATATTTTTCTTCTGGACGCCATGCAGTCGTTACTGTTTGTTTTAATGCCTACTTATCCAAATTCACACAATAATTTACAAACATTTCAACCTAATATTCATAAGTTTAAGATCTGTTTTAATTTATATGCTTGAAACAATATCGACACTGCTTCGAGCAATACCACACATTAGGCATTAATAAACTTAGACCTCTAATGACAGCGTCCCAAAACAGCATTTTTTTGAGTTTGTACTTACCAGCAGTACCACTGTATGATCCCAAACTCAGTCTATATTTGGTGAATTCGTCACTAATGGCAAAGTTACTGTACTTGGCGTATCTAGTCATTCCATCAAAGTCTTCTAAATCAAATCTCAGTTCGTATTGAGGTCCTTGATTGGTCAGTCTGTAAATATTATCATTACCTAACCAGTGCTCCGATCCGGGAAGTCCAAAACCATATTTATAATCTCGCCAACCGCGGTAGAAATCTAATCTACCATTCTCTCTTCTCTGAATTACCTACAACCAATGTTCAAAATATATGTTTAGACCAATTCTATCGCACGCATACACATTTATTCCATGATGAATTTATACATATTTAAAGAAATATTCCCACTATTACCCGCATGATGAACAATAAAACAATTTAAAAAGGTCTTACTGTCCATCCTCCGCCATCTGTATCCATATCACAGTAAACTTTGAATCGATCACCATTATCGCTGGGGCGTATAGTATATATACCACTCAAACTGTAACCTTTTTGCTGAATTTCATAGCAGTCTTTTGGATACCCATTCACTGTAATATTATCATCACAATGTATGTAATTATTATGTTATTGTATGATAAATTCCAGTATTTTTCAGTGGTTCACTTGGAGTACGGCAAGTTATGTCTGAAACATTCAAGGGAACTGTGTCTTTTGGAGGTCGAAACATTACAAACCTGCGCTTTGCAGGTGAAATTGACTAAGTTGATGGATCAATAAAAGAAAATCGAACTTTAAGACTAGAAAGCACTGCACGGAGATACAGAATGGAAATCAGTCATGGAAAGATCAAGGTGATGATGAATATCACAATACATTTGAAATGAGCTGCTTTAAAAAATTCGAAACATGAGATGGAAAACCGTCCAAAAAACTGAGGTGAGAAAAGGATATTTATTGGTCGTTACAAACCGACAGTCAACAGAAGAAAGTTGTAATGGTTAATCAGCGTCGTGAATGACAGCTAGTTTAGAAGTACTTCTCGACCCTACAATGTTTTCTGTAGTCTCTAAATCGTATAATATCGTATCATCGACTACTATTTTTATTTTGACCGATATTTTTCGTCCTTGGGTATACATTTATTTTATTGTATATACAATAGTAATCCAGTCAGTATATTCACTTTGAGATTAATCTCATGAACAATATTGTCTCTTTGAATTGCAGCGTAATCACGAAAAATCAAACTGTCGTTTTCGCAACCGCAATTTAAAACGCCAAAAGAGAATATATTAGTAATAGCAATGACAGAACGCCATTTAAATAATTCACCAGAATTAAACGTTGAAATAATAATCGTACAATTGGCTAACAGCAATCCGCTGCGGCTGGAAAACTCATTACAGGTATTTTAGTACTGGGTCGTTGTATGGGGATAAAATCTCAGTTTCTATTAAATAACAACATTTAAAAAATAACATAAAACCTACCATAATTCGCCTGAGGTTCGATTTCGTTTCCTACCTCGTTCAAGTTCCCAAAGCAGACAATGAAGCAACAAATCAAAACGAGTGCAGTATAGGTAGACATTGTACCAACTGACGAGAAGTCTCGAGACTTGTAAGGCTTGGTAGGCGTTTATGAGAGTATTTATAACATTTTGATACATGACTCCTTACGTTGTTTACGTCAATGTGAACAATGATTACCTCGTAAAACTGCTTACACACTTGATGTAGATCATTGATAAGACAACCCATTCTACAAGGAGGAAATGGAATGACGGAAAATAGGTCAAATCTAGAAGAAAGAAACTATTTTATGAACGCCTGGTTAGCCGACTAAAAGCCGATAAACGGTTTATGAACGACACTCGTCACCAAATCGCCCTTAACACTATTTAGTTTAACAGTCTTGACCCGGATTTGAGTACTGTAACACCGTATATTGTATTCAAAGTTCCTAAAGAATCCAGTTTTTGTGTTTATCATACTCATTTTTGGAATCTATACCACCAGCAAACCCTCCATAACATATACTTATTGACGAATTCAGCTATTGTGATTTTACACCAAACTCTATTTGGATATACAATTCGTATAAGTTTACTCTACTATATAGTCAGGCCGTCTATCTATTGTTTTGATACGTAGTTGTCTGTAAATAAAAATATTTTGTCGAGATTTAATATATATATTAAATAAATATATTAAAATTTTAGGAAGGATGTATTTCCTCATTTACATGCAATATGCAACTATTGTCACTGGCCTATATGCAAGTGAATATACAATGAATTTGACGGTCGCTGCAAAAAAGACAATAGCTACTTGCGAATCGCTAGCCGGAAAGTGGCCAAATGTAACGTTCAGATTGCCGAGTGGGAATTTTTTTGGGCTAAGTGGGGGGGGGTGTCCATCGCAACTTGCGTTGTGAAGTTACAAAAAGTCACGATGAATATCATCTGAATGTTACAATCCGGACACTGGAAAAATGTCATATACATTTTAAGAGCAAGATAACAGTACTAGTTTTATGCAAAGTTTCAAGTGAAAAACTAGTTTGTTTACAATCGGTACTATAATATCAATCCCCAGCGGCATTGGGAACTTCACCAGACTGTCGCGCACATGAAGTGCAAATTCACGTCGTCTCGTAAACAAACAAAAAATAAACAGTTTTATTGAATGAGATATGTTTTATTTACATGTCGACATGAAATATCCTAACAAAATAATGAAACATTTTTTCGTTTATTCCGTTTTTATCGAGGGATTGCGAAATCCGATCAATTTTGGCTGCCTTGTTGTTTGTTGTTGATTGTCAAAATTATGCAAACACAGCTCGCACAGGGGTAAAACGTATTGTTACTGAAGGTTTCTTTCGATTTCATTCTTAACGAAAGATTTTTTTCTGTTTTGATCCTCTTTCTAAATAAAAGGTGATATCAATAATTCACCACATAATCAGAACGAGAAAAGTCGTTTCTTTTGGACAATTTTGAAACGTCGTGCTTGAAAACTGTGTGTACCATCGTGGTTCGTTCGACTTTCTGATTCAACACCGAGAGTTGAAGCAGTGGCTATGAGTTTGGTAAAATTTGTCACCAATCCTTCTCCATTTTTAAGGCGACTTTGCCTGTGCATTTTCACAGTGTACAATTGGCACTACAAATTGACATGATATAATTTGTTGTAAAAACGTAAAGCTGTGTGATTATCCAAATTAGTGACTTTTTCACTAAAAATTACCTACATGTTAGTACACAATGTATTAAAATTAATTTGTAATAATGTAAATAAACTTCATTGTTTCTATTTATTATACATGTGTAGGTTTGATGGACATGATTGTTTAGCTTACGATCTCCCTTAAAATCCCCGCCCGAATTAATATTCATGGTTGAATGAATAATTTAGGCCACCTCCATATAAAGACACCTGTCTACCTGACAGTTTGACTCAGTCCACTGACTGTCCTTTATAGACAGGTTTGACTGTTTTTTTCCAACACCAGATGAATCTGTCCACTTAAGAACATCGCCTCTTTTATTCACAGGCCTTCCATGCAAGAGTAACTCAATTCGGTCACCTCCGAGGGCAATAATCTTGTAAAAGCTGATACGACCGATTATAGGCAAAACGTTCACCGATTATGCATTGTTACTAAGCACAACGATTACCTAATATCTCCTACTGTATACCTCCCCTGAGGGGGTGATGCAATGCTATTCTTTAAATAAATTGTAGTGATTGTTTTGTTCATATATAAGATTACAATATCAACTGAAAGACAGAATTTTGCTTACAGAATGTATGCATATACATATAAGTTATGCATGTACCTCTGTGTTTGTTTTATGGACACATGACCTCCAAAATCAATAAGACTGATCAATTTGTAACATAAATAAAATTGAAAAATGGCGGCTCCACTATGATGCTAGTGATCCCGAAAGTCACGTTGTCGTGGAGAGGTGGTCATGGAATTCGATTCTGTATTTCTATTGTTTCCCTTTGTTCGTTTTATTTTTCAAACGATTCATATTTCCAACATTTTGCGATTTTGCGAACTATGCGCAACAACAGTGAAAAAGTGTAACATGATTCAGTCAAAATTAAAATACGGAAATGAACCTTACTCGCACCCAAACCACAACTTAGTGGCGATGGCCGGAACGACGTCATTTTCGATCGTTCACATCGATGTGCTCCGGAAACACCGAGAAAACAAGACAATTGTGAATTCTCACTTTAGGGGAGATTATGTCATATTTTAGCACATTTGTTTAGCCTAACAACTTCAAAATAACTTATTTGGAACATCGACATAAAAACCGGATAACGGTCGCTGTTTTGTTACTGATATAACTCATTTTATTGAGAGTTTTCCATATCATTGTCAAGTTTTTCAGCTGTCCACTTGAGTATACAAAGTCGGCAGAATCAATGCAACATCCCCAAGAACATAATATGGTTCATAATGGTGAGCAAGTAAATAGTTTTAGAAAAATCAATATTCAATGATACAAATCATACTGAATTTTGCTTAACATTGTGTATTGCCGAGTATTAGTGATACAGCAATGAAAATATCGATAGAACAGCGCCCTTTGTCATTCACATACATTCACTCATCCAGTTCAACTCAGAGGGCGCTCACGCACATTTATTGAGCGGCTGTTGTGATTTTATTATTGAGTGAATTTAACTTTTAGCCCACTCCTGTCACACATATTATTAGTGACTGTGTTTTGATTTGTTATATTATTTTTTTCTTATATTAGCTGCTGATACACTATGAACAATAACTAAATAACAATACGTATGCATATGATGTCCCCACATAAACATTGTAAACGCCATTCAGTAGGAATATATATTTAATAGACATGTACATTGATTATAACCTAAAAAAATGATTAAAACATTTGACTAATCAGACAATTTGACATGCATTTGTGTTCGACCGTCATTGGTATATATGGAGAATAATAGCAACACACTTCCGTCTATTCAATAACGTCTTTCATAATAATCTGAAGACGTATATATATATTTGCATACACTAAATACCACAGATGAATAATTTATACTTTTATGCTCAGATTAAGTACAGGATTTACCACCGCATTTTCTTTGTCAAGACGTTTAGTACATAATGAAGACTTTTTAAAATTACATTGTCTTCATTCGTCAAAACTATTAAGCCAACGATTTTATAGAAAATGACTGGCCTTAAATATAGAAAGCTTGTTGGCAGATATAATGAGCTTGTGGTCAAATACTGTAACACAATAATCTCAAATAGCATCAATATCACTTGTCTGATGTAGACTTCAAGTTGAAAACAGTAACCACTTGATTATGATTCAGAAAGATGACGGGTGCTATATATGGATGTGCTCACATCTGACCTCACTCCATGTATGTTACAATGTCCATTTTCCCGTTATTATACATTTCTGTTCCACCCCGCCCTGTCTACTTTTTGTTTTGTTTTAACTGCAATGGGTTGATTCAAATAAACGTTGTTCACTAAGCCCGCTGCACATTGCCCTACACTCTACACTCCCGTCACATGACACCTGAATATACACAAAATCTATAGTTGTATTCAGAGGGGCACAGTCTTTACAACTGGAATTCGCTAGTGTGTGCACATTGCTAGAACTGAAGACATCTCATTTGCATTCAACTTGCTCGCCCTCTATAATTGTGGATAAAAGGAGCCAATAATTTATATATGAACATTAGTCAACTGTTTCATGTTTCAGAAAAAGTATTGTCAACTATTATATTCACTAAATTTGTTTTATATTTATACTTGAATGTTATTTGTCAGCTTTTTGTTGTGTATTTCATTTAAGTCAAAATGCTAATGAAGAAGCGAACGTGATAATCGATATTACTAATAATATTATAAACAACACAGTCATTCTATTATGCTTCTTCTAAAATGTAATCATCCAGTATACAGTGGTTACAAATATTCATGAATATTAACGATAAAAAGTATACGATAATTAGAAAAATTTTAAAAATACAAGGGTTATTATTTATTAGTTGCTGCAAATTACTTTCTATTATTATTGTCTAAACTAGGCAGATATAGGTTTGTGTGTCACTAATCCTTGTCTACCAGGTAATGTATTTTTGTCGGGTCATGGAAGGCCTTCCTTACGTAATCAGTTTGCTCCTTTTCCCGGATCGAGGCAAACAGCGGTAATGGTCTTAAGAGTTGCCTGTGCTAGATGGGTGTAAATATTTGCCAATAACAATAACATTTGTGATTTTCACATTTTTTCCTTCTAGTTTTTGTCATTGTTTGCCAATTACTACCACTAATTTGTATTATTTAGATATTGTCTAGTTATGGAGCATACATGAAGGTAGTTGCATAAAAAATAACTATACTGCAATATTAATTCCTGGACTAACCATTTTAGAAATGATTGTCTGTCCATGTGCGAGCATGTGAAGGTAGATCCAGTACTCACCCCATGAGGTGTGAACATATGAACTAACCCTAGGCTGCTGATTACAGAGAATTCTAGAGTGCTAGAAAAACTTACAAGGTTAACAATCACCATACATGTACTGTAACGACATTGAAACTCAAACAGCATTTCACAGCAAATGACACCAATACACGAATAAACAGATTCTAAATTTAGTTTCCCACCCACAGTGGGAATATACTACTGTCAAGTACGTTAATTTAGAACAAGTGGAAACCACACAAAATGAGCTACAATGATACAGGAGACAAAGATGGCCAAGCAATGATTCTCGGTCCGGGTTATGACAGTACAAAGTAAAGCATTAAAATAAGCTCTATGACTGATATAGAGTACGTCTCAGCTAAGATACTCTATATGACAGATATGTAAAATACTAGAATATACACATCCAGACATAAAAGATTAATGTCAATCTGATTAAAATCTGATGTAGTGTACGGGCTTTAACTATTTTGGCTATAAACTTATTTTAATTTTATTTTTTATTACTTTTGTTATTAATGCCTTTTTATTTTATTATTTTACTTTGATTTTGATTTTTTTTAATTCCGCCCTACCTACATCTGATCCGACGCCTACGCAAGTCCCGTTCAACTCTCGCGTAAGTAACAGCCAATCACAGGCCCCCTTTTATACAGGCTGTCGGTTGCTTACTTTTCAGTGTAGCGATACTCTACGGGCAATCTTTCTGTACATTATATTTTGCCCACT